ACGAGTCCGCCTTTGTGCGCTGACACTCGTCGCATCGCGCGATATAGTTGCACACGTCACCTCTCAGTCCAGGCCAATAAAACGTGGTCGCAATCCTCATCCAAGTCCGTAACACTCCCGAATGTCCGCCAAATTTTGAGTCGTGGAAGTGTTTGATAACACGCTCACGCAATGATCCTGTCTCGGGCACGACAACTCGTCCCTGATAAAGGAGCAGGCCATCGTGCACATCGTGGTCATCATCCTTGTCCTTGCTCTCGATCACCTTCTTCATTGTGTCTCGGCAATGGGTATCCTCTTCTTGTGCTTTCCGGAGTTCGTCCCAAACAGCCCATGTTGGTCCTGTCACGGCGTCGAGCTCCGCAACATCCTCTCGCCTAGACAATGCGTCGGCCACGGTGTTTTGGCGACCGGGCCGATACACTATCTCGAAGTCGAACCCCATTAGCTTGGACACAAACTTCTGTTGATCGGGCGTCACGATCCTTTGCTCGAGCAAGTGCTTGAGCGGCTGTTGGTCCGTGACAATGCGGAAGCGTCGCCCGAGTAGATATGGTCTCCACACGCGCACGGCCTCGACCACGGCCAGCATCTCCTTCACGTACGCGGATAGCCCCAAGCGCGCCGGCCCAAGCGCCTTGCTAAGATAGGCCAAGGTCCGCCCTTCTTGCACTAGGACCGCTCTGATTCCAATGTCGCTCGCATCCGAGTGAATCTCGAACATTACGTCAAACCTTGGCATCGCGAGCACGGGCGTGGTCGCATGGCTTTCTTCAACTCCTCGAACGCCATCTCGCTCGCCTCGGTCCACTTGAAATTCCCTTTCTTTGTCATCTCCGTGAGCGGCTTAGCGATAGTTCCATAGTCCTTCACGAATTTGCGATAATAGCCCGTAAGTCCTAGGAACCCTCGTAATTGCGTCAAGCTCACGGGTTTCGGCCACCCCACCATCGCCTCGATTTTCCTTGGGTCTACCTTAACACCATCATGAGAAATAAAGTGCCCAAGGTACTCGACCACCTCTTGAGCAAACGAGCACTTGGACGACTTGATATAGAATGAGTTAGCCGCCAAAATCTCCAAAACAACGCGCAAGTGCTCGAGATGATCTGCCCACGTTTTCGAGTACACCAAAATGTCATCAAAGAATACTAACACAAACTTACGTAGGTACTTCTTAAAAATCGAGTTCATGGCAAATTGAAAGGTCGACGGCGCATTGCACAACCCGAAAGGCATTACGAGGTATTCGTAGTGCCCTTGGTGTGTGCGAAAGGCCGTCTTTGGCACGTCGCTCTTGGCCAATCTGATCTGGTGGTAGCCCGCGCGTAAATCGAGCTTTGAAAAGTAGCGTGCGCCTCCAAGCTCGTCCAACATGTCGTCGAAACTCGGTATAGGAAAATGGTCCTTCACGGTTGCCGCATTGAGTGCACGGTAGTCCGTGCAAAACCGCCAAGTGCCGTCTTTTTATTTGCGAGCAACACCGGTGATGAGAACGGACTCGTGCTGTGCTGAATGAGCCCAGACTCGAGCATCTTACCCACTTGCCGCTCGATCTCCGCTTTTTGGAAGTGCGCGTACCGATACGGATGCACGTGCACTGCTCGACCTTCCTCGACCAAGGGAATTCGGTGGTCGAACTCCCGGTTCGGTGGCAACCCCTTAGGCTCGTCGCGGACTTGGTCGAACTCCTCGAGCAAGTCGCGCACCTCGCGCTGCCTTTCCTCGACCATCCTCGTGTCTTGCCCCGTCTGCTCAACTATGACGGCAAATAAATGCCCACCACCTCGCCACACCTTCTCGATACTCTTAAGTCCAACCTCCTTGGTCGATCCTTCGTTTGCTTTCAAGGTGACCAGCTGATCACTGGCCTCGAACTTCATTACGCCCTTCCGGTAATTGGTCGTCACGTAACCAAGCCCTTCGAGCCATTGCACGCCAAGCACCACATCTGGAACTACCAGTGGCAAGGAAAACAAGTCCGCTTTCACCGTCACTCCTTGAAATTTGATCGGCACGCCTCGGTACACCTTCGAGCACCGCAAATGCTCACCATTGGCCACCCGCACCTCGAATGGCTCGACCACTGACGTGGGTAATTTAAGCTTGTGAGATAACGTCGCATTAATGAAGTTATGCGACGACCCATTGTCCACGAGCACAGTTACTCGTCGGTCTTTCACCCACGCCGGCAAACGCATCGTCCTCGGGCCCCTGGTGCCCGCCATGGCGTGCACAGAGATCTCGGCCTCATCATCGAGCACCTCGACCTCCTCCACTTCCCTTTCTTCCGCAAACTCTGGCTCCTCATCACCCGAGTCAACAAATTCGATCAGAAAATTTTGCTTACATTTATGACCCGGGGTGAACCTTTCTTCGCACTTAAAGCAC